AAAATCATCATGAACACAAGTAATAGACCCCAAGTAACTTACCTCACTGATATCCCTCGATTCCCTCTTGAAAATCACTGCCCAAAGCTTAAAAACCGGCCAACAATGGTGAAGAATGGGTAAAAATTCGCGAAGTATGGCTTTTATACATTCTGCCCAGAAGTCTTGCACATGCGGTCCACATACGCGCACTTGTGCTGCCGCATCTGCGGTCCAAAGAGCGCACATGCGGATTCCACTTATCCACCCACTTCCGCATCTGCGGCTCTCCCCTCGCACATGCGGCCTCGCAGGTGCGGCAACACCTCAGCACCTGTGTTCAAGCTCCAGCTAGCCAAATACGCACCTGCGATCCCCCTTTCACATCTGCGACCTCGCACCTCCGGTCCCCAATCCGCAAGTGCGGAAATAATAGAAGCAGCAGCTTCAGCTGCACAAACTAAATTCCAACTCTACCGGTGAACATCCGAATTCATCCCGAGGCCCTAAGGACCTCAACCAAAAATGCGAACAAGTCACATATCACCATTCAAACTTATTCAAATCTTCCGAATACTCAAAACAACATCAAAACACCAAATCACCCTCGGATTCAAGCTTAAGAACTTCCAAACTTCCAAATTCCGCAAACGATGCCGAAACATATCAAACCTCGTCCGAATGACCTAAAATTTTGCACACACGTCACAAATGACACTATGGACCTATTCTAATTTTCAGAATTTCATTCTGACCCCGATATCAAAATTTCTACTACCAACCGAGAAACGCTAAAATTTCAATTTTCGCCAATTCAAGTCTAAATCTACCACGGATCTCTAAATTACCTTCCGGGCGTGCTCCCAAGTCCAAAATCACCTAGCGGAGCTAACCAAACCATCAGAATTCACATCCGAGATCGTTTACACGTAAGTCAACATCCGGTTGACCTTTCCTACTTATCTTTCTCAAAAGAGACTAAGTGTCTCAATTCACTCCAAAATCACTCTGAACCCCAACCAACCAACACGAAACGATGAAATACAGCTGAAGAACACATAAAGAAGCAGAAATTGGGGAAACGAGGCTATAACTCATGAAATGACCGGTCGGATCGTTACATCAACTAAATTTCTTCCTTGTATAAATTGAAGTTCTAATATAGGTCCAAATATATGAACTAACTTATGTTGAATACTTTTAGAACCTCAAAACTTTTAATATCTCTAAGCATATAATCAATTAAAAACTTTCTAATCTCAAAGCATTATAATCCATAGTTTGTCCCTTTTAACGTTTAGCGTAATATTGTTCGTCTTTTTTACTCTTTAAAAATAAAACTCGCGTTAAATAAAATAATTAATTAATTATTCTTTTAAGACTTAAGATTTTAAAAGCAACTACAATTCGAGTTATTAAAATTTTCCTTATTAGAAGTTGGTAATATACCGTATTAGTAAAAGGAAAATAGTAACGCGTTAGTTTTTCTTGATACAGTAAATCACGTTAGTTTTACTGTTAGAAAACTTTGGAGCACTTTAAGCTCCTTTTAGTTTTAGGTTTAGAAGTTTTTTTGTTTGTCATTAAATTTTAACCAATTAATTATTTACAAATATTTTAGTTCAAAATTTCAACCACTTTCAACTCCAAATTGTCATTTTTGGTTCAAAATTCATAATTAATGTCTCACTTATCATTTTCTGTCTCACTTATAATATAAAAATTTGCTAATTAAATATAATTACGTTGCACACTAAAACAACTTACAATATTATGTTTTGAAAGTTATATCTATTTATTGAATTTAGACGGTTGTAGATAAATTACTCATAAAAAATTTGCATATATAGTGCCGTTAGTGTTTTAATTAGGAAATCAAATTTTCTAATATGCTCAATCCTTATTTTTAGTTCAAGTTTTCTTTTGAACCTATATTTGATATTAATATATAAATTTGTAAATAAACTACACTTAGACATTGGGCGAACTTTGAAGAATGAACGTGTATGCTGTTCAACTCATGTGAACTAAATACTGTATATTTTAACGTTGATGCATAAAGTAATAGATTTTTATAAATATTCAATCATTATTAGGAGGTGGAAAAAAATCTTATGAGTTCAAGTCTATATTCAAAATTTATTTTTTGTTCTTTATGAATTTTTATTTACAGATGTAAAATTCACGTGCAACGCACGTATACTAAAACTAGTTATTTATAAATTGGAATGTAGATCTTCGGAATTACAGCAAAAAAAATACTATAAATTGTATTTCCCCTCGTATCAATAAAATTTTATTAAGATCAATTGTGAGAAGCAAAAAGTGACTAACATCTGATGTAGTTCACTTATTAATAACATAATATTCTGTTCTTGTCTTCTTGACCTAATTTGTTCGAAGTAAGTTACACTTTTGCGATCCCAATTGGATCAGTTTTGGCAGATTGTAATTTCACAATTAACATGATATCCCAATGTAACATTTGATTTGATACTCCCAAATCATTTATGAAATCACATTTCTTTGTACTCCTAAAGATAATAATTCATAACTACTAAGCCGCGATAACAATTTCTATTGTTGTTGGATGGGCCAAGATCTTAGAAATGGGCAAAACCTCATCCCAAGATCCTATAAGTCTGTTTCCCTCATAGTGCGTCATAGTTACTAAGGTTTGACTTGATCTACGGTAAGGAGGGTGTTTGGCTAAGCTTATAAGCTGGTCAAACTGGCTTAAAAGCACTTTTTGGCTTATCTACGCGTTTGGTAAAATTAAAAGTGCTTATAAGCCAAAAATAAGTCAAAAGCCATAAGTTGATCTCCCCCAACTTATCAAATTTCAGCTTATAAGCACTTTAGGTTTGACCCAAATATTTACTATTCTATCCCTAAAATAATTTTTTTTAAACAAAACTCTTCGTATACCCAATTCTTCAGCTGCTTATTATTAATTTCAGCACTTTTATCCAAACACGTAACTGCTTATTTTTAAAATCAGCTTCCGCACTTAAAAGTGCTTTTCAGCACCCAATGCTTATTAGCTACTTAAATCAGCTAAGCCAAACGGGTTCAAGGTCGGCTAAATCAGATGGTGTCTCGTGCAATGTTGGAGACTAGCGTGTGACGTGCATCATAGCCATCGAGGTTTGACATAAACGACGTGATCAGCTAAACCAGATGGAGTGTCATGCAATGGTAGAGACTACGACGTCAATGAATAGAGCATTGTGCCGTGCCTACTGTTGAATTCATTTGGTTGAGATTTGTGTTGCAATATTGATGATCAGCTTGTCCCAAACAGATTTTGGCCACTGCGACCATCATTGGAACTAGAAAGCAACTAAAGGCAAAACAAATTGTTAACTTTCAGCTTTTGTTTCCTAATAAAATGCCCCAGCTAGACCCATTTTGAAGCCACATAAATAAGAAAGGAACACAGTAAAAAATTTCATCTCATACTGCATACAATGGCTATGAAATCTTCTACGCTTTCCATCTAAAATACTACTACCTATTTTCAAGTGCAAAACGCCCTGTTTGATTTCAGAAAGAAGCCAAAATTCACTTGTGCTTTATATTAACTGCTTTAGTCGTCTGCTAAAGGCTTATAAAAGATGTTCCAATTTTCAGTTTTATCTTCCCATCGGAATTTAAAAGCAACCATCAAAGGGAAAATAGCTAAATATTTCTTTTCCAAACCAACAACAAAATCATACTCAGTATATTCTCACAAGTGGGATATAGGGAGGATAGTATGTATGCAGACCTTACCGAAGCAAAAGGGATACAAGAAAATGCATGTTAATCCATGCATCCAATGTTTTGACACTTCCTGTATTTGGAGAAAAACCATGCAAAATATGGACATCAACAAGGATTAGGGACGCCAAAGCCCTAATGCAAAATTACGGTCTCACTATATATGTTGAGTACGTAAAACTAAGAAATAATGGAATGCGATGCTACTAAAGTTAAATTATTTGATTTGGTGTATAAACCAAGTGCGACTAAGTATTTATTATAAAGAACTTTTGCCATAGCAATACTAGTAAGGTTAAATTGTTTTGGCTAGATGCAGCTAAATATTTACCGTAGTAACACCTGGCATACATTCCCAAATAACAATAAGAACCTCACGGAGGTGAGGAAAATACCAAAAGAAGGCTATTCAAGTAATCCAAATCCAGATGGTACTTAGCTGTATCACTATTTACATTTTTGGCTTCACTAATGAATATATTCAACTATCACAAACTACAACAGGGTGCACACTCAACACAGTTAATACATATGGACTATGATACCGAGTTTTATAGATGCAACTAAAATTTTGCTTCAAATTTAAAAAGACAGTGCACTCTATTATGAACCTCCAAAGAGAGAAAAAGAATTAAATTCATCAGGGGAAAGTCCCCAAAAGGTTAAGTAATAACTGGAATAAAATCTAAGAAGTGAAACCTTCTTATTGACCATTATAAAGTTACTGCAGAGTGTATAATACAATAGTAAGTTCAGATGCTATTCTGGAAAACTAATTACCACTCATTAGTAACAGTAATCTACACAGAGATCAAATGGATCTGCTTATGAAGAGATTCCAGCTGGAAAATAACTTTCAAGACTGAAAATGAAAGTCTACTAAAAATGTCAATCGCGTTTTCTGATTGTGAAACAACAAAAAGAGTTGTAATCTCCATAAGCCGACTAGAAAATGAGTTCTTTGATTATCATTTTAAATTTCAAAGTTAGTGAAGAATGTAATAGGTTAAAAAATTACGAGACGAGGGTTAGCAATGCTGCCCTAATTTTACTAAGCGCAGGAATCAAACCTCAAAGAGTTGTGACGTATAACACACTTCACCTTCTTTTCCTCTTCTTCTCTTTGCAGCAACTGCGGTGCATCTGTCCTCCCCTTGTTCTAGTACTAGATGCTCTGAGACTAAGATGTAGAGAGAAATTAACAAATGCAAAAAGTTATGAGTGAATTAACTAAACTTCAGACGGAATGAAAGACAGAATCACGTAAAACATATGCATATGTCATATCTCAAGAAGTAATGGTGTGAATTCACGAAGATGCAACTATTTTTCAAACATATCAAATCTTATAAAGGAGGGAAAATAAGATGAGATGAGATAGGAGCTCGCTTGTCTATCAGCGTACAATTATGGAATTTCATTGTCCTATTTTTCCCCTTAAATGGATATTGCAATACAACAATAAAGATTGCTAGAAAAGAACAAACATGAACTTAAAACAAAAAGAAAGATGGATAAAGATAACATCATCAAGGACAAACGACCAGGATTATAAGATCAGCACCCCATGACAGCACAGTTATACACAAAGCTACCAGATCGCTTTCGGCCAAGCAAGTCCCATTGTATCGGCCCTTCACTTGGAACCCATGAATTCACTTCAATATATTCTGCACCTCCCTTGGGTCCACCAATTACAATTAGCCTGTTACCACATGCTCGAAAAGCCAAACCCCAACCATACATGGAAGCTGCTCTTTCGGGCAGCCGTCCTATGGTAACCCACGCTTTATTTTGCTTGTCATACTTCCTCACCTCCATGTCAGCATAATCAGCCGCGTACAGCTCATTGTCTACAACTGCCACCAAAGGAGGTGCATCAGATGTAGCAGGCATATCATTCCTAGCAGCGTTAGCTTGCACCGGAGACATGTTTGGGATTTCACGCCACGTTCCTTTTTCCAGATCATACTCCTCCCCACAAGTCAACCGCTTCGATTCGGCTCCTCCAATTCCTCCTATCACATAAAATTTTCCATCCATGAATACCCCTGAACACATCTTACGTGGCTTGTTCATGCTCGGTAAAGTCTTCCACGTTCCTGACTCCGAATTGTAAAGTTCAGCTGAGCTAAGTATATTGCCTTGTGAGTCACAGCCACCAGCTAGAATGCCAATCTCCCCAATGCTGGCAGAACCAAACAAACATCTCGGTACATTCATCCGCATCCCAGATGACCACGTGTTTGTCAATAAACTGTAACGATAAATGACAAGCGAAAAGATCTCCTTTCCAAACACAAGCAGCTCTGTGCCAACCGCCAACGACTCCTTGTCAGCCAACACGAAACACTCATCAGGAGTCATAGCTGGCAGATGCATCCAACGACCGCGACTAGGATCAAAAGCTTCCCATTCAACCAGTTGGCAGGAGAAATAAACCCAATGCTCAACCACACCATTTTCCCGCCGCAATTTGTAAAGTTCTCCGCTCCTAATCAATGAGCGAAAGCTACGATTCAAAGATGCTACGGAACCATAATCCGACCGAGAGCAATGAATGAGACAACTGATGGAATTGTCACGGCCAATGGCATGAATAAGAGAGCTCGAATCAGAATTATCCCCAGCATGACGTTTATTNAACCAAAGGAGGTGCATCAGATGTAGCAGCGTTAGCTTGCACAGGAGACATGTTTGGGATTTCACGCCATGTTCCTTTTTCAAGATCATACTCCTCCCCACAAGTCAACCGCTTCGATTCGGCTCCTCCAATTCCTCCTATCACATAAAATTTCCCATCAATGAATACCCCTGAACACATCTTACGTGGCTTGTTCATGCTCGGTAAAGTCTTCCACGTTCCTGCCTCCGAATTGTAAAGTTCAGCTGAGCTAAGTATATTGCCTTGTGAGTCACAGCCACCAGCTAGAATGCCAATCTCCCCAATGCTGGCAGAACCAAACAAACATCTTGGTACATTCATCCGCATCCCAGATGACCACGTGTTTGTCAATAAACTGTAACGATAAATGACATGCGAAAAGATCTCCTTTCCAAACACAAGCAGCTCTGTGCCAACCGCCAACGACTCCTTGTCAGCCAACACGAAACACTCATCAGGAGTCATAGCTGGCAGATGCATCCAACGACCGCGACTAGGATCAAAAGCTTCCCATTCAACCAGTTGGCAGGAGAAATAAACCCAATGCTCAACCACACCATTTTCCCGCCGCAATTTGTAAAGTTCTCCACTCCTAATCAATGAGCGAAAGCTACGATTCAAAGATGCTACGGAACCATAATCCGACCGAGAGCAATGAATGAGACAACCGATGGAATTGTCACGGCCAATGGCATGAATAAGAGAGCTCGAATCAGAATTATCCCCAGCATGACGTTTATTGCCAGCTTGCTCGTTCGGGGATGCTGAAGAGTTTCCCAAAGATAGAGCGACTTCCAGTTTGTTGAAAGCATCAGACTTATTTGGCAACTTGCATTTCACAAGTTCACGCTCCTGATAATTTACCAATGGCTCCTTGCCATTCATGCAAGCCACCAAGTTACTTTCTCTCTGACAATCCTTTGAAACCAAACAAGACTGATCTTCTAACATGTCGTCCAGATTAAAACCAAGAGGATTTGATAAAATGAAGGAAGAAGTTGATTGCAATGCACTGAAAAAGACAACCTTTTTTGTATCTGGTGAATTCTACCTCTGTTGTTTTCTTGATTTCCCTATTAATATAGTTTTTTTCTTTTTGTTTTTCGGTATGTATTAGTATATAAGGGTAGTTATTTAATTTTTGTACTATTTGGTAGAAGAAGAATCGGGGCCTTTGGATTTCTCTTCAGAAATTAAAGTAAGATTTGGCTTCATAAGGAGGAAAAATTAAGATTTGGCTTCATAAGGAGGAAAAATTAATAAAATGCCTAAGGAGGAAGTACAAAAAGAGTAAGTAATGTAATCTAGGTAATCTGACAGTCTCAGTTCACACTATGCACTCTCTCTTTCTCTTTTTTTCCGTGGAGCAAATTCCTCTCTCGTTATTCTCTCAAGTGCCACAAGGAAGATTATCAATATTTTCTTGACGGAATAAGCTCTTCCTATACAAAATTTTTCTTAAATTGGGTAAGAACTTCTCTATCGTTTTCTTAAGGGGTGGAGTGGTGGGGGATTGTGCATGATACTCAAGTTACATTTCATGAATCTAAATCCATTAATTTTTACACTAATAAGTGGGCTTACATTTTTTTTCTCCACGGGCAGTCAACACAAAGGTCAAACGTCTTCCAACACGCCTAACATAGTTAGCACCTCTACATCGTTCCTACCAGTGTTGTTTATATTTTTCTAGTAAAATTAGTTGATTAGAATTCAAAATTTCTTTGGTTCCCATAGATAGATTGACATGCATTAACTTTCTATCATTTTAGGAATTGAATTCACAGAACGATGATATGGGAGGGAATTTTTTATTCATCTTTCTCGTAGATTATGTTTAAGTATTTACTTATATGCTACTTGTAGAATTATAAAGCATGAGAGCAAACCGTAATTGATGGAAGAGTAAATTCCAGAGACGCCTACCAAAATATTGGAACCACCCGCTATGCGACTGATAAGAGCATATGAGAAGATTTAGTAAATAACACTGATATTAAACACTTTCTCTAGATAAGTAGAGCCTGTAATTTCTAGGTTTAAGCTTTCATGAAAAATACTTTTTAAGGGAAAACAACTACCGTTGTAGGACTTGCAGGTGTTGAATTAGCATGATTCAAGGAGACTTGATTTAGGAGTGTTGATTAGCATGATTTCCGGAGATTTGATTATATTTAGGAGATATAATTTTATTTGATTTGATAGCTGGATTGATTGTATAGATTTATTTTATTTCCTTAATTAGCATTAGGAGCTTTGTATAAATTCTCTTGTTCATGGGATGTAAACATACACAAAAATACAATAAGCATTTTCTTCATTCTCAAAATCTACATGGTATCAGAGAAGGACCCATCCCGATTTTCTGATGTTGGGCCCCCATAATTGTCCACGCTCCAGATGTCCAGTCCTGGGCGTGAGAGGGGGTGTTGAGACAATGAAGGGGATGGGTGGTCTCCTTATATGGATTTGGACAATCCTCACCTCTAGAGCTAGCTTTTGGGGTTGGGTTAGGCCCAAGGTCCATTTAATATGGTATCAGAGTCAGGCCCATCCCAATTATTGTACCGATGTTGGGCCCCCATTTATGTTGTCCACGCTCCAGAGGCCTGACGTGACGGGGGTATTGAGTTGTCCCACATCGAAGGGATTTGAAGTCTTTGGTCTCCTTATATGGCTTGGGCAATCCTCACCTCATAAGCTAGCTTTTGGGCTTGAGTTAGGCCCAAGGTCCATTCTTATCATGGTATCAGAGTCATTGCTGCCTTTTTGAGGTGAGTTATCTCCCTCGCAGTACTAGGGTTCCTTTTTTATCAAAGAGGTCAAGTCCGCAACATAAACTCATTCTGATTTCCTTCTGATTGGGCTAAATTATGGAGACATTCAAGGAGACGGTTTCTGGAGAAATCTTGTCTTCGGAAGAAATTCAGCTTCTCCGTCACCTCTTAGCCAAACTTGACTCCGCTAATGTTGTCATATCCAATCATGTGCAATCAGGTACTGCTTTGCAGATAACCTTAATTCTTGGATTGTCGATTCTGGTGCAAATAGACACATGACAGGCTTTTCTAAAGGCATTCAAAACTATTCTCCGTCTCTCAAAGGAGATAATGTTAAAATAGCAAATGGTTCTTTAACACCTATCTCTGGAACATGTTCTGTCATTTGTACTCCTGATATTAAACTATCATTCGTGCTCCATGTCCCTGAGTTCCCTATTAATCTTTTATCTGTTAGTGCCATCACCAAAACTCTAAACTGTAAAATCGAGTTCTTTCCCGATCATTGTATTTTTCAGGATCTTCAAATAGGGAAAAGGATTGGCAGTGGTAGATTGCGTGATGACTTGTATATATTAGATGAGATTCAAAACTCTAGTCAAGCCTTTTTTGGGGAAAGTAAGGATGTCAACCAAGAAATAATACAACGGCATAGACGGTTAGGACACTCATCATTCTTTGTTTTGAAGAAGTTATATCCCGATTTGTTTTTAAGGACTCAATTTGAATCTTTGTTCTGTAATGCGTGTGAATAAGCCAAGCATACTAAAAACTCTTATCCTGTGAGTGATAATAAAAGCACAACTATGTTTATAACTATTCATTCTGATGTATGGGGTCCTATCCAAACTGTTTCTTTGTCTGGTAGTCGATGGTTTGTTACTTTCATTGATTGCAGCACTAGGATGACTTGGGTATATTTGTTAAAAGCCAAAAGTGAAGTTTTCTCTTGTTTTCAGTCATTTCATAAGATAATTTGTACTTAGTTTACTGCCAAAATAAAAATCTTGAGAACTAACAATGGCAGCGAATACATGGATAAAAGATTTGGTGCTTATTTGGAGTCCAATGGGATAGTCCATCAGACTAGTTGTCCTTATACTAGTGCACAAAATGGGATCGCTAAAAGAAAAAATAGGCATATGTTAGAAGTAGCAAGATCTCTTATGTTCACCATGCATCTACCAAAACCTTACTGGGGGATGCTATTCTAGCGGTTGCCTATCTTATCAACAGAATGCCACTTAAACCCCTTAATTTTCAAAGTCCTCTTGAAACTTGTAAGAATGAATATACTGTTCCTCCAAAGGTGTTTGGGTGTGTTTGCTTTGTCCACACTAGAAATTCTGGGAAACTTGATCCTAGAGCTATAAAGTGTGTTTTCATTGGGTATTCTCCGACACAAAAAGGTTACAAATGTTATTATTCTCCCTCTAGGAGATCTATTGTTAGCATGGATGATACCTTTCGAGAATCTGAGCCCTATTTCAGTATTACATCATACCTCTTCGGGGGGAGAGCAGTAAGGAGGAAGAGGTGATTTTACCTAGTTCCATTACTGGACCTCTTGATGACATTGTCACGGGGGAAAGTAAAATTGGAGAAAGAATTCAGGGGGACACTATTGGGTGTTTGGATAGGTTTTGAAAACTTACTCAATTAAAAATAGAGCAGAAGAAGCCATCATGCAATCTACCGAAGTTGAACCTTCTTCTACTGGTGAGTTATCTACATTTCCTAATGAGTTAGATAAACCTATTGCTCTCAGAAAAGGAGTCAGATCTTGCACCACCAAACACCCTTTATCTAGTTTTGTCTCCCTCCTATAGAGCCTTTGCCTTGTCTATTTCTTATGTGACTATTCCCCAAAATTGGAGGGAAGCTTTTGCAGATCTTAAATGGAAGCAAGCTATGATTGAAGAAATGAAGGTCTTGTCAAAAAATGAGACATGGGAACTTGTCACTTCACCACCAGACAAGAAGTTGGTTGGCTGCAAATGGATCTTTACTGTGAAGCACAAAGCCGATGGCTCAATTGAAAGATTCAAATCAAGATTGGTGGCTAAGGAATTCACTCAGACTTATGGAGTGGATTATCAAGAGACATTTGCCCCTGTTGCTAAGATGAGCACTATTAGAATTCTTTTATCTTGTGCAGCTAATCTTGATTGGGACTTGTAACAGTTTGATGTGAAGAATGCATTTCTTCATGGAGACTTAGAAGAAGAGGTGTATATGGAGATTCCTCCTGGATTTGATACTGCACAAAGTCAAGGAAAGGTATGCAGATTAAAGAAAGCCTTATACGGACTGAAGCAATCCCCCAGAGCTTGGTTTGACAAATTCAGCAAAGCAATGATCTTCTTCGGTTACCAACAAAGCAATGTTGATTACACCCTCTTCATAAGACATCAAACAGGTAAACCCACTCTTCTCATAGTTTACGTTGATGACATAGTAATGACAGGAGATGACAAAGAGGAGATGTCTCAATTGAAGAAGTTGTTGGCACATGAATTTGAGATCAAAGATCTAGGAAAATTCCAGTACTTCTTGGGAATTGAGGTTGCTAGATCCAAAAGAGGAATATTTATTTCTCAAAGAAAGTATATTCTGGATCTTTTGAAAGAAACCGTTATGACAGGTTGCAGACCCGCATAATCGCCCATTGAAAGCAATCACAAGTTACAAAGTGGAGTTGGAGAATCAGTTAATAATGAGAGATATCAGAGACTGGTTGGAAGACTCATTTATCTCTCCCACACTAGACCAGACATAGCCTATTCAGTTAGCCTAGTGAGTCAGTTCATGCATGATCCCCGAGATCCTCATATGCAAGCTGTCTTTCACATTTTGCGGTATCTGAAGTTTGCTCAAGGGAAAGGTCTACTTTTCTCTAAACATGATCACCTCCAAATAGAAGCCTTTACAGACTCGGATTGGGCTGGATCTCTAGATGACAGAAGATCAACATCCGGTTACTGTACGCTCGTAGGAGGAAACTTGGTTACTTGGAGAAGCAAGAAGTAAAGTGTAGTTGCTAGATCAAGTGCGGAGGCAGAATACAAAGCTATGGCCCAGGGTGGTTGCGAACTGCTTTGGCTACAAAAGCTACTACAGGAATTGAGACTGTATGAAAAAGGAAAACTTTCCTTGTACTGTGACAATAAAGCTGCCATCAGTATAGCACATAGTCCAGTCCAGCATGACCGAACAAAGCATGTGGAAATTGATCGACACTTCATCAAAGAAAAAATTACAACTGGTGTCTTGAGTTTGTTTCATGTAACATCGGAAAAACAACTAGCTGATGTGTTTACCAAAGGTCTCAACAAGCGAACTTTCCATACTTTGTGTTGCAAGTTGGGCATGTGCAACATCTTTGCACCAACTTGAGGAGGAGTGTTGATTAGCATGATTCAAGGAGATTTGATTTAGGAGTGTTGATTAGCATGATTCAAGGAGATTTGATTTAGGAGTGTTGATTAGCATGATTTCAGGAGATTTGATTATATTTAGGAGATCTG